GCTTAATGATTAATTAGATGGAACATTGTGGGTGTGGTGTATGAATGTTAACACCTTGTATTAATTCTTTAGTATGTTACTTGTGTGGTGTAGAAGATAATTATTTAAGAATGTAATTATGTAAGAATGTTAACACTCTGTTATAATTTTTTTAGTATATTACTTGTGTGGTGTAGAAGAGAATTATTTATGTAGAGATACTGCTTGCAAACCAATGATAGTAAGATGATGTCATGGGGTAGGACTGGATAAGTCTGACTTCTTCCTACTCCATTCAAGCATGTACTAGGTATAAGCAAATTGATATTGGATTGTGTGTAAAAATGTGTGGTGTTATATCAACTGTTTTATATGCTTGAAAGAATAAATCAAATCAAATCAGTCCTAGTGAGCAGTGCAGTTCTTTTCAAAGTGTGCATAATTTTCTTTTACTGTTTTATCGTGGGTTGATCCATTGTACGGTGTATCCCTCGTCGTCTACCATCTGTCATAGTTTTGGACCGTAATTTCCCCCTTCAGTTGATTCTGTACACCAGGCACTTCCAAGTACATGAGTGTACATGCACTGGGTGTAGACACGGGGATGAGCCTCTCAGGCGCTGCATGCCAGATGTTGGTTGCTGCACACACTACGCTTTGATTTAGGCACGGCTTTAGGGTATTAATTCAACCTAGAGGGTGCAGTCCACCCTCTTCTGGCAGGATGCCTTAACCTTTTGTTTCATGGTATCTGTGGGTATCAAAAGTCAAAGGAATGAATTTAGTTTACTCAAAAAAAGAAAACATATTTAAGCATCTTAAATTCATATCACACAGTTCTTAAGTTATTTATAAAATGTTTTAGTTTTTGATTGCAAGCTCTTGGGAGTTGCTATAGACCTGTGATTTAAAAGTGAGATTATTTTGTTGGTACAGTATGTAACACCCAGAGGCTGTGTAATCCTGAGCGTTGTCAGTAGCAAAAGTTGTCACTGTTGCTAAAGCAGGAAGTGCATCGTTTTATCACGGGCCAGCACTGATTTATGCTAAACCGTGAATTACTTAACACTTTATTTTTTTATTGGTTATCACTGCCACACTATCCCTACTGGTTTTCCCATCGTATCTTCAGCTTTGACTGGTATGAAAGTGAGACAGTATTAAATTGCATCCTATGTGGTATTTGAAAGGTCTTAAAAGATTTTAAGCCTCTTTTTCATTATTATATGCTAACAGGCTTTCTGTCATGGCTTTTTAGTGGTGTGTTTATTATGATCTATTTGAAGTCCAGTTGAAGGCTTTCCTCTTGGTCTGTTCTTAAATGGGTTTGTATCCACCAAGTTAGCCAGAATCCGTTCAATACTGTCATTTACACCTAAAGAACCTGTGCGGTGTTGTGAAAGTTCAATAACAGAAACACACAGGTGTCAGAATGGAGCCAAGCAAACAGATATTTGCGGCTGTAATTATTCCTGATGTACAGGAGGGGAAATTATAACTGTACCTCAAATAGGATTAAAATTACTAGCACTAGTGCAAGTATTGAATAGCATGTTAAAGCTAAGTATGTTTGCATTCTGTTTTTCATTTTGTATCATTGTTACTCTGCACAATTTCTGTTAATGTATTCTTAGAATTCCATTTATTAAGTAATTAATAACTACACTGAAACAAGTAGGATCAAAACTATAACCTCTTTACTGGAGGTAAGTAACAAATAGAGGTAAGGCTATTATTTAATTAATTGGTATAAGGACACAGGGTTAGTTAACATTTATTGCTTCTGCTATGTGGCTCTGTTACAGTAAGGACATTACGCCTGATCTGTGCCTGTGCTGAGGATTGTCGGTGTCTTCATGAGGTTGACGCTACACCCAGAACATCTGCCATGTGAGTAAATCATCAGCTGCTCTTTGTTGTGTTGGTGATGGTCACTGCAGATAATGTAATGCCACTAAATGAGAGGGATATTTTGTAAAATGGTAATCTTAACTAATAAGAAACTGAAAACAGTGCAAGGCTCTATGGGTTTGTTTTTGTTGAATTGCAACAAAGCACCTCATTAAACTTCAAAATAATCCCTTCTTCACTGACTCCATGTTTATGTCTGGGACAGTCTTTTCCTCCCCAAGTACAATAGAAGTACCCAAACATCATTTAAGGGCTCTTTGGCTTGGTAGCCGCCCTCTCAGGCCTCATCTTGTCCAAACACAGCAGGAGCTGTCCAAAGTCTCTGGCCTCCTGCAGAGCGCCTCTCCTTGGCCAGTCCTAAAAGTAGGTCATTCTGTCTGGGTTTTGGAATAGACCCAGGGTCCATCAAGGATGCCATGAAAAGAGATGGAGATTTGTGAAATCCATGATGATGCAAAATGTCATAATGGTTCCCTGGGTTGTAGTACACCTAAAAGAGAAAGCAGAGTGCACTGTCAACACAATTTGAGTTGTTTTCTCTTAACAAAGGTTTACTGAAACATTGAACAGTAAATGAATGCTGATGAAGTGTGGCTTTGCACTTTCCCCTGAATCACCTCAAAAGTCAGATAGAAAGCAGTGCTTCTAATCACCATCATCACTGCCTGGCTTAACCCTCTTATCTGTAAATTAGAGGACTGGCAATATTTTGGGATCGGTGGTGTCAAAGCAGAGCCTGAGAGTTCTACTAACAAAATAAGGGCCAATATTTTTTCAAGGTGGGTGGGGATCTTAGTCCTAGAATAGGAGCATTGACTGGGTTCTCTGGAGAGCCAGTGTTAAGTTGATTTAGGCACTTTTAAACAGCTGTCATCACATCATTGGCTGTCACCAACATTTAAAGGTTTCTTTGGGTGGGTGTGTGTGTACGGGCACAACATTAATGCTTGTAAAGATCCTCTGTTTTGTTTTTACTTAAGCTCACAAACACTCATTACTAGGGAAAACCCCGCAGGGTCTTTTTCAGAGTTATAACTTTTGTTTTGTTTTTCTATACACTCCTGTCCTCGCTCCTTTTTCTTTGTGTTGTGTCGTGTCCTGCCCCATATCTGTCTCCTTGTATTGGAGTGTGCGAAGTGATCAGAGATAGCAGAGTAGAGGGGTTGACCAGGGAAAGATTTTGTGGGTGTACATGTACTCATGCCAAAATATACAACTTGGTAACAAAATACACAGGACCATGCTGTATGGTGTTTGTTTTGTAACCACAGACCAGATCCGAATCAGTGCTTTATTTTTTCCGTTTGTTGTGTAGACCCCAAGAATTTAATCATTTCTTAGATCCCTGTATATAATCTTTGTCTTTGGTGCAAATTATTGCCTCTTGGCCAGAATAAAAATGTATGAATCAAAGCCAGAGTGACGGGGACCAAGTGCTTCACATTTTAAAAATTGGGACTATGTGCTTTGTGTTCATATTTGTTCTGTGCTGATTGCAACTCGGTGCAGGGCCATATGTGACTGCTATTCTTAGTCCATCTAAGCACAGGTTTCATTTCTGCATGCCAGTGAGACATATAGAAAGTGGTTTTCATTAAATGGAATTTGGAAGTGGATTTGTAACTAATCACCACGTTGTACTGACGGACAAGCTCATCGGATTTCTGCAAGAGTGACTCAGTTTTCTATGTGCGTTGTATACTTGGTGCTTTTGCTAGACCCATTGTAGTTGTTACCCTTTTTTTATTCAGTGAGCAGTGAGTGTTTTTGTTGCTGCTTTGTTCTTGACCAACTGGGAGCTCATTTGTTCTCTTGTCTACTTTTGTCCACATCCCTTTCTTTTCTCTCCTCTATTGTGCTATTAAATTGGTCACTTTTCCTCTGTATCCTGTATGATGTCTTCTAAATTGTTTTGTCCTTCATTAAATTGGATTGCATTGGAAATCCATTATAGAACCTAAATTTATGCATGTGATAAGAATGCGTTGTATCCTCGGAATGCAGAGACGCCAGTTTTTGTGTGAGAGAATCGGTGTGTGTGTGTTTACAGCAGGAAACTCAGAAGATTACAATTCAGGGTTGTGATTGTATGTGCGAGGTCCGAGTCTGAGTGGTTACATGAGCCTGTCCACACCTTCCCAAACCTGCACATGAGGAGTATCCAGTTACATGCGGCTGGGTCAGTCTAGGGCCAGCAACCTATCTTCTCACGCAAACTAGCAAGCAAGCAGCTAGGCCTGTGTGTGAGTCCTGATAAACAAGTGGCCACTGTCTGCACACAAGGAGAATGCTATCGAGCTGTCTTCATCTCTCAGGGTGTAGTTTGCCCTCTCAACAGAGCTCATGCAGGAAAAAAAGACTATAATTTAAGAGCTACATTTGTTTTAGCTTTCAGTCAGTCTCCTGGGGAGTGCATTCTGTTATACTGCGAAGCCAGTCAAAAGTTTAAGTAGGTGGTGCAGATGCAGCTCTTGGTGATAAAGAGCAGATTCAGGGATTGGGACAGCAGGCAGCTGTTGGATTAAGAGCATAGAGGCATCAGGACTCCCAGGCGAACTCAAACTGTGGTGCCTACAGTTTGGTCTCTTGCCACGATTGTTATGGCCGCTGGTGGTGTATGATGCACCAGTTTCTAAGTTTGAGAAGATGGAATGTTTAGCACATACATTAGGAAGTAGCTGGGAGCTCTGCGCTGCCTCAGTAGCATGGCCTTTGTACGGCAAAGGGTTTTTGGGGCTCTATAATCAGTTTAACAGAGGATTTTAAATCTGCTAAGGCTAGACTGGAGAGAACACTGTCAGAATCCAGGGATGTAGCGGTGCAGAGCGCAGCACCAACAGTCTCAGCAGGGAGGATGTGGAACCTGAAAGAGGAAGTGTTGCAGGCTCAGGCAGCTCTTAAACACAGGAATATTGTAGGGAAGGTACAGCATGGATGTGGTGGTTTTGGTTTAAGCACATCACAACCTTCTTGGAGTAAAGCGGAAGACAGTTAATGAGGAGATTAGGAGGCAGGTAGAGGCTCAGTAGGGACAGTAGATGAAATTGGAAGATGTAGAAAGGAAGAAACCTAGTAGGAAGGAAATGTGGGACATGGAGGCAGGAAGGATCAGATTCATTCTAGGCACAGGTTATGATGTGCTTCCATCTCCCCAGAATCTGAATAGATGGATAGGAGAGAACTTGACATTTCCCTCCTGTTCAGCTGTAGCGTCACTTCGGCCCATCCTTTCAGACTGTATAACGAGCCTGGCTAAAGGACGATACACCTGGAGACATAATCAAGTATTAAAATGTTCAGCAGCAGATAGTGAAAGTAGGCGCTTAGAGGTAAACTAATTGGAGAAGAAGAAACAAGAGGGCATTTTGTTTGTGAGGGTGAAAAAGGCAGGAAGCAAGTCATTTTGAACAGGCAGGATACAGGCCAGCTAAAGGCAGGGAGAGACAGCCAAATGATAGTAGATTTATGTTCAGCTCATTGTTCCTGAGGAGTTAATCGGCACTAACCTCAGACCAGACCTTGTACTGTGGTCAGAAGCACAGCAGACTGTTTATTTTGTTGAGCTTACAGCTGGGAGGACACTGTAGATACAGCTTATGAGAGAAAGAAAGTGAAATACATAGAATTAGCCGTGGAGTCAGAGGAGTGTGGCTGGAAAGTTAAAGTCTGCCCCATGAAGGTTAGTTGTAGAGGATTTGTAGCAAAGTCAGCCGTCTCTCTGCTAGGTGAGTCAGGTACAAAAGGGCGGAGCCTAAGACAGGTAATTAGGAATCTAAGTTGTAACACAGCAAGGTCCAGTGAGTGGCTCTGGATCAGAAGAAAGTTGTGTGAATGGTAAGAAAAAAAGTTAAAATAGGCAAGTGACTACATATGTGAGGAATATGCCTGTTAAGCTCAATTTAATGAGCATAGGGGGGCAGGCTTAACAAAAATGTCCGTTACATGTGGCAGGCTTGAGGCCTGCTTCTTGGTGTTAGCATGAGCAAGCTAAGGTGAGGACATACAGTCGGAAAAAATTATTTGAACCTCAGCTGATTTTGTAAGTTTGCCCACTAACAAAGAAATTATCAGTCTGCAATTTCAATGGTAGGTTTATTTGAACAGTGAGAGACACAACAATAACAAAAAAATCCATAAAAATGCATTACAAAAAAAGTTATACATTAATTAGCATTTTCATGAATGAAATAAGTATTTGATCCCCTATCAGTCAGCAAGCTCTCTGGCTCCCAGGTGTATTTTATACAGGTAACGAGCTGACATTGGGAGCCCTCTCAGCTCGTTACCTGTATAAAAGAGACCTGTCCACAGAAGCAATCAATCAATCCAGATTCCAAACTCTTCACCATGGCCAAGACCAAAGAGCTTTCCAAGGATGTCAGGGACAAGATTGTGGACCTACACAAGGCTGGAATGGGCTACAAGACCATCGCCAAGCAGCTGGGTGAGAAGGTGACAACAGTTGGTGCGATTATTCACAAATGGAAGAAACATAAATTAACTGCCAATCTCCCTCGGTCTGGAGCTCCATGCAAGATCTCACCTCGTGGAGTTTCAATGATAATGAGAACGGTGAGGAATCAGCCCAGAACTACTCGG